AAGTTTCCAAAAGTGAGGCTTTGCGAGAGCCAAACACCAAGGCCCCCGGTTTTTGCTTTTCCTTCAATGCACCCCCTGCTGATGGCCGGGGTCTGTGAAGAGGGGTATTTTCGCGAAAGTTCCGCGAAAGTTATGCGAAAGAGCGGGCGAAAGTCAAAGTGCATGTTGAAGGGGGTGGGCCTGTAAACCTTGCCCAAAAAAACCTAGTCAGCAACAATCTGCCCTGAGAAGGGATTCCGTGATGCTAGCTGCATGTTTAAAAGCCTATCAAGGAAGTGATCCGTGATTCTCTGGCGCAATTTGGCAGGTGGTGAATGAATCTTCACAAGAGGTGTTGTTGGCCAACATAGGCCCCGCGAAAGATAAACATGGAGTTCGCGAAAGTTTCGCGAAAGTAACGTTTTTATTCGCGAAGAATGGCCGTTCCCGGATAGAGGAATTTTGATCAACTGCCATATATATATATAATGTTATATTATATTATGATATTTTTTCCAGCAGGGGATCACTACCTGCTGGGCTGTGGCGGCGCACATGGGCGCATTTAAGTCGCAGCTGGTGGCCACCATAGCCGCCATAACATATATATATATTATATTTATTTCTATATATATTATATATATATATTATATTATATTTATATATGCTAATTGCATGTGATGGGATTCAGTTCACGACGGATCACTCTAATGGTCCATTTCTTGTTTAGTCTGGTGTGTGAGTCAACACTAGTTCCCATGGAAAGCAGAAACAGTGTACACCGCATGAGAAAGTTAGCAGTTTTGGTTTTGATATTTCAGCAGGGGCCGGAGGTGCCTATGTCACTTACTCTGCCAACCAAGCTGGGCGACGTGTGGCAAGTATATAGATCAGGGACGCCTGGTCTACGCACCTGCAATTTTGCGATGGAATGCAGACAACCCAAGAACCGCCATGCAGTAAGGTTCATGGTATTGGTGGTATCGGTTTGTCTCGATTTGACACGCGCGATGGTCCTCTTGCGGATCTACTTAAACTTCCCGTCGGGAAAACCGCGCCAGCGGTTGTGAGCGTTTTCAAAAAATGACGTTTTCGCCATAGCGAAACTATTGGTCCGGGAATTTCTTGTGCATGTTTGATGATCTCCTGCAATTTACAGGGAAAATGGATGTTAAAAAACTCGCGCGATGTTTTCCTCCTTTCACGTGGCCATGCGCTTCTCCAAAGAGCTACCAGTGACCTCCCAGAAGGGGAAACCCAGACGTGACGAAGCATGTGCATGTGTGGCAAGGTAACATGAACGTTAAAAAAAAACACACACACCCAAGACGTGACGAAGCATGTGCGGCAAGTTAACATGAACGCTAACAGACCCACCCACCCCCCAACCCAAGACGTGACGAAGCATGTGCATTTGCGGCCAGTTAACATGAACGTTAACACACACACACACCCACCCAAGACGTGACGAAGCATGTGCATGGGCGGCAAGTTAACATGAATGTTAACACCCCCCTACCCAAGACGTGACGAAAAATGTGAATTTGCGGCCGGTTAATGAACGTTAACACACACACACACCCCAACCCAAGACGTGACGTAGCATGTGCATGTGCGGCAAGTTAGCACGAACGCTAACACACCCATCCCCCAACCTAAGACGTGACGAAGCATGTGCATGTGCGGCAAGTTAACATGAACGCTAACAGACCCACCCACGCCCAACCCAAGACGTGACGAAGCATGTGCATGTGCGGCAAGTTAACATGAACGTTAAGACACACACACACACCCCAACCCAAGACGTGACGTAGCATGTGCATGTGCGGCAAGTTAACATGAACGCTAACACCCCCCAACCCAAGACGTGACGTGGCATGTGCATGTGCGGCAAGTTGATATGAACGCTAACACACCCACCCCCCAACCCAAGACATGACGAAGCGTGTGCGTGTGCGGCAAGTTCTCATGAATGCTAACACACCCACCCACCCCCCAACCCAAGACGTGACGAAGCATGTGCATGTGCGGCAAGTTAGCATGAACGCCAACACACCCACCCCCCAACCCAAGACGTGCCGTAGCATGTGCATGTGCGGCAAGTTAACATGAACGCTAACACCCCCACAACCCAAGAGGTGATGGAGCATATGCGTGTTTTCGATATCGTGCATGACTACTGGCGCGGTTTGCCCCCTGCTGGCTTAAACTTGTTGGCGGCGGTGATCGCATGCCGAAAGCCCCACTGTGATCCAGCAAAAGGTTGCAACTGCTTCCCCCACCCCCTTTGGGATTAGTTCTCGAGCAGGAGCGGACTACGTTTGGTAAGTAGCGGGCATGACAGGGAAGGAACCACCTTCTCTTAGCCTATAGACTGTCATGATTGTCATGGCAACATATTACTGACTTCGGAGAGAGGTGTGAGAAGCAAGTAGGAGGAGTTTCCTGGACATGAGGCCCACTCTAGGTTTGCAGGGGGTGGCAGGGAATGTCATCAGTTTATAGTCAATGTCAAAGACGGCCATGACGTTCTGTGATGTGAATTTGAGACGCTGGGTCGGCCTAGTTGCTTCCGAGAGGGCAAGCGGCCAAACCAAGAACTGCACTGCCCTGTCGACATTTTCATGATAGTCGATTTCGACTCTGCAGGCTTGCCATAAGTAAATGTGGGATCAAAGTGACGTCAAATTGCGCACGTGCGAATCACTTCATAAAGCGCCGCGTCATTGTGGCATTGTTTTAAGTTTTGTGCGTTTGTGTGTGTGTGTGTGTGTCTGTGTGTGTGTAGCTGTGTGTGTGTGTGTAACATCTAAATAGATGTAAAACTTCTCTCTCCTTTTCTTCCTTTGTCCTCTCCCTTTTTAATTCTAAATTCAATGCAGGGGGGCAATCTCATGTTTGCAGCTGATTGCCCAACGAAGAGGGCTGCATTCATGACTGATATGACTCTGGGACGCTGGAGTCAAGTACCTGCTATTCAATTTTGACTGACATGGCACGCGGCCAAGCCTAGAACCGCACGGCTGTATTTTCACTTCACGGTTGTCGCAATCTGGAATCAATTTTGGTCATTTACGATTTGTTTCGCTGCATCAGAACCTTCCTCAGAGCAAGGACGTAGAAAGCCTACTTGGAATAATCTGTTTACATGATCGCCGACAAAATCGAAATCTTCGCCGAGACATCGCTGATGATATTATTGCTGGTTTATTTATTCTTTTTGATGTCGCTTCTGAACCCGATGACCATGCTGAAGTACTTCTATTATTTCGTGGGATGCATCGTTAATTTCATTGTTTCGTATCTAATCTGCATGTTTCAGGATTCAGTTCCTACCGGATCATATAATGATCCATTCTTGTCTAGTGTGATTTCCATGGTGGCTCCGACATGGTGCCATGGAGCCATTTGAGGCAACCCTCTTCAGGGTGAGTGTCGACAGTCTTGAACTCTGAATTAACAATTTTAACTTGATAATTCGCTTAAGTAAATTGTAACAGTTGGCCTTCTGTTCTGCTCCATTTTTTGAGTATCCTGCTGCTCCTGCGGTCCCTTGTGAAACCTGTGGAATGCATCCCTCACGGTGAAGCCGTTCTGAACTGCCAGAAACTCCATTTTTTACTACTGCAGCAACTTTTGCAGCGTCATTGCATCATGTCACGACACTTGAATCAGGCAGGCACACGTCTTGCAGGTGTGGTTTTCTTTCCTTTTGGTTCTCTGGTGAGGTGAAACATATTGTGCATCTAATTCGAGGGAATTTGTAAGCCGTTTTATGCCCTTGTGGCTGACTGGAGCACGGGCCTGGATTGGCACAACGCACGACCTTTAGGTTTAGGAGCTGAATCCTGTCTTTAATTAATTGTTTTGGTTTTCTTGCCTGTCATTAACTAGTCCCCCATTTGGTCCCTAATCTTCCCCGCGTGCCTCTCCGTAATGTGTCGTGGGGTTTAGGTGTGTGCGCTGTTTTTGGTCAGGTCCGTTTCGCCGTGTAGGTTGGTTCCGGAGGTCCGTCCGCTTTTTTCTTCCTCTTGCCTTTCAGGGTTGACCCGGCTCCGGCCGGGTGTGTGTGTGTGTAACATCTAAATAGATGTAAAACTTCTCTCTCCTTTTCTTCCTTTGTCCTCTCCCTTTTTAATTCTAAATTCAATGCAGGGGGGCAATCTCATGTTTGCAGCTGATTGCCCAACGAAGAGGGCTGCATTCATGACTGATATGACTCTGGGACGCTGGAGTCACGTACCTGCTATTTCAATTTTGACTGACATGGCACGCGGCCAAGCCTAGAACCGCACGGCTGTATTTTCACTTCACGGTTGTCGCAATCTGGAATCAATTTTGGTCATTTACGATTTGTTTCGCTGCATCAGAACCTTCCTCAGAGCAAGGACGTAGAAAGCCTACTTGGAATAATCTGTTTACATGATCGCCGACAAAATCGAAATCTTCGCCGAGACATCGCTGATGATATTATTGCTGGTTTATTTATTCTTTTTGATGTCGCTTCTGAACCCGATGACCATGCTGAAGTACTTCTATTATTTCGTGGGATGCATCGTTAATTTCATTGTTTCTTATCTAATCTGCATGTTTCAGGATTCAGTTCCTACCGGATCATATAATGATCCATTCTTGTCTAGTGTGTGTGTCTGTGCGTCTCTCTGTGTGTGTGTGTCTGTGGGTCCGTGTGTGTTTGTGTGTTTGGGGTAACAAACTTTCCATCCCATAAACGCTCACAGAATCAAGTCATAGATTGCTCGGAAATTCTGGATCAGAGATGCCGCTCTAGTTTGTTTTGTAGTATTGTTTTTCCATGTTCATTCCGGATCAATTATGATCAGTCTTTTTTATTTTTGCTGAGTTGATTCTGTTACCCTTTGAAAGCAATGGATATTTATTTACACCGTTTCACGGCACCAACAAACAAATTTTATCACATGTCTTGCAACTTATCGGGGTTCGCCGCTGTCATTCACACAACGGTGCTGCATTGGTTCTCCGGAGACCACCACGTTCCCGAGGAACATACCTGCCACGTGCTCCGCAGTTGGGGGCAATTTATTAGCTGCAGCATGGTTGCACGGCAGTTCGTTGTTCTCAAAACAGGTGGTTTTGCATTCTGTGAAGGCGTGGCAAAATTAGGAAAACAAAGTCGGATTGAATTAAATTTGGAATTCAGCCTCGTCCAAACATGCGATGCTACAAATGTGAGTATTTGATAGTGTTGGAATGCCGCTGGTGTGTTGTTTTTTCATTGAAAACCAAATTTCTGGGTTTGAACAATTTTTTCCCCTCACACTTGCACTGAGATCCTGGGAATTCTCGGTGGCAGCATTTCATCTTTGGAAAACAGCTGTCGAGCCGTCACGCTCGCAAATGCGACTCGGCATAAACTCAACCCCCTAGGCGCAGATCCACAAGAATTTGTTATTTGCTCAAGGAGTATGAGAGCATCTTTTGCAGATGAATGACGCAAAATCTTTGATGGTTTGATGCATTAGTGAAGGTTTGGTTATAGTCCGGACATGGGAGGCTAAATGGTTGTTGTTGAAGTGAATGTGCTTTGCTCACAAACTATGTTTTCCTCATCTTGTCATGACAATGAAAGAGGAGTGGAATTAAAAACCATGCGACTAACCGCACCCTGCAAGGAAAACCCAGAGTGGCTACAGTATGTCAAGGATTGGGTCCGTAGTGAGCAGATTCGTTGGCTGTCCAACATGCATTCACTCTATCGCATTCCATCACATGTATTGATCAGCAAAGGTTTGAAAAAACGCAGGCTGCTGAACAGACGTCAAACCAGAGAGCAATGCGTGAGAGATGTTGAATATGTAGGGCAATCTCACAGACCTCAAGTGCAAATAAGAAGCTGCAATATTGCATTGATCGTCTGCAGCAAGTGACTATTTTGCATGAACCATCAGCCGTACGCCGCAATCCCCTTTCCAAACCTTGTGGCGAAGCTACATTCCAGAGGAATCAAGCATTGACTGCAGCAGCATATCCAATTGATCAAGTGAAGTTCAGGGCTTTTCTGTTTCATGTTTCATTGCTGAGCTTGAATGCTTTCAGAGAGATCAAGTCGGCTGAAAACTTCTTATACTGTAAATCAAACTGCACGCCTCCAACATACAGAAAAAAACTGCTATTCGCCATATTTTGCCAGTCGCAGGTCACAAAACACTACAAATCCATTAAAATTCCACATTGCGTTTTGTGCGCAGACGGGCGTCAAATCACCCGAAAACATGCTTGGGAAATTCCGTATCAGAATGCACATCTCGTGTAATCTGTAATGTAACATATTTTCAGTGTTTAAAAGAAAACTGCTTTCAAAAAGGTTGGCGCTTGGACTTTACACTTACCTTCTCTCAAGCAGTTTAAGCAGGTTCAAAGGCTGCCAATGCCAAGCTGCTTTGCAGTCTGTAAAAGGGGGTAAACCTAGCAGGTCTGAACTTCGAACAGGTCACCTGTAACAGGTCAAGTCGTTTTGCGCCCTGCCAGCTTTGCGCCCCCCCGGGACCTAAAGCCGCTTCAAGAAGGTACCCGAATCCAGCGCGTCACTTGCTTTAATTGCTGAACACTGTATTGAATTCAACCTCAAAAAACCATCCCCTACATGACCCATAAGACCCACACAATTTGGGCAGCAGCACGCAGGGCAGGGTTTAAAAAAGAGCCGCACAAGACCTGCTCACGCAAAAGTTTAAACTGGACCTGAGCCCACCGCGCAATGGATATATCTCATTTGGTTCGCATGCTTTGCCCGGCAAATGTGTTCTTGTGAGCCTGTGCTCTCATGCAAATCTCTGTTTTACCCAGCTTCAGCATACAGCATGCATTGAAATTACTGAATGTGCGGCTTTCTTGGTTTCTGTGGCCATGTGGCAGGAAAAGCCAAAATGGTTGAAATATGTCAAGCGACGTTTGTCGGGCCGTTCGTCTGAAAGGCCAACCAATGCAGGCACAGCTTGATCCACACTGTTTTGACGGACAAAAATTTCTGGCCAGAGATTAGGAAAGGTTGGGCTGCTAGACTGCTAGACTCATTAGTTGGACATATGGTATAATGACATGTTTCAGTCTTCTCTACCTCAGTTGGTTTCTCAACTCAAGTAGAATGTGTGTTCGAATACATGCTTGTGACCTGATTCTGAACAAGTTGAATTGCTATGTTTGTTCACACTTGTGCCAAAGCACTGCAAAGATCTGCAAAGAGGAGCGGACTCGTGGATACTTTGCATTGCTTTGATTCAACATACTTCACGTTGTTTTGATTTAAACTCACTGGTTCGGACGGTGGGAATGTGTGTTTGTTTCAATCTCAAGGAAAATTTGGGCCTGCATCATGGTGGGGGTCTTCTACCTGCGTCACACAGGTGTGAAGCAGATGCACTCTACTGCCAAGCTTCCTCCTCTGCCAGTTCGAAGCATTCTTTCAGAGGCGATGATTCAAGAGATCAGGCAGGGCAAAGCAAAAAAGCAAGACAAGCGTGAATGTGCTGGACTCTGCTTGACGGTAAAAAATGCGTCATTATCAATCTTGCGGCAAGAATGCACTCAAAGAGCCGCACCCTTTATCCGCGCAAAAGGTATTCATCAGAAAGAGGATTCTCTATGCGGTCCAGTGAAAACGAAGCAAACATGATGATCATGTATGACATTGACAGCAATGATGATGATTTTTTGTAATGGAATAGCTTTCGGTTCCCACACAAGTCCTCAGCAACACGAGGGAAGTAAACTTAAATGGAGAATTTAGGCCAAAATTGATTTGGGTGGAGAATTTTAATCTGGGAGATGCCAGCATATGGTGGTTATTAGTGGTTATTACAAGTATGTACCTGGCTGTATTTGCAATGTAGTCGCAATGCGGTCTGGTGACTACAGTCCCTTTGTGTATACATGGAGGGCTGCATCATCATGAGTCTCCACGATGAATGCACATGTAAAGGGCATTCTTCTTGTTCAGGAACAACCTGTCCGCAGCGGAGTTCAGGAGGGTTGAGATTGCGCAATGTACTTTTGATACAATGCTTACAGCGCTTCTTAGCTTAATGTAAAACCTGTCAGACTAGCGGTGGGGCTTCATCCGTTGAAAATCACCTGTGACAGCAAAACAGCAAGTAAAATGCTGTGTAATTGTGTGTCTGTGAAATCTTTTAAAGATAATATAATTCATGTATATATTATAATATATTCACCTAGATTGCATTCATACCAACCCAGGGTACTGTCCGTATAAAGAAAAGCTGTTCAAGTGTGCAGTAGTTGAATCATGTTGAATCCAACTTTGATGTGCTCTACATGTTTAAGTGCTGAAGGGGTCTCTGCCAGAGCCGAGGATGTTCTTCGGAAGAGGTCTTCTGGATATCTACAATGCCGCAATGCATAGTCCCTGCACGGTCGCTGACGATTTCGATCACCAATTGGCAGCCTGGCACAAGTAAAGAAGTGTTCGTTCAAGGATGTTCCAGGGCTTCAGTAGCTTCTAAGTTCCATGGTTTTCCACGGAAAAGTGAAAAGAGAGTGAGCAGATGACAAGCAGACAGATGACCGACGCTCTGCCTTCCGCCTGTATCAAAGGACCAAGATGCTACGTGCATGGTGCAAGTATCCGGCATGATAACCACGTTTGACTTCGTCGGGGCGCTTATATCCTTAGTAGTCTCAGAGTGTCCAGAGGGCGCAAACATCAAGGCAGGGTCAGGTCTTGCTGTGTCTTCCTGGAAGCTTCCAAGGATCTCCCAGAAGTTCCTGTTCTTGAACCGTCCACTTGCAAGCTGAATGTTCACGTGTATATATATATACACACAAAATGTTTTTCATATTATTCTGATTCAGCAACGTTGCAAAGGTTCACGCTGTCTTGGAATAGTTTGGAACTCTTCCTCCGTGGTAACAGTCTCATCAACATACTAAAAGTCAATACCACTACAGCACATAGCCTTGATTTCATTCTTGAAATTTGACGTGCTCCTGTGCCAGGCCTTGTGCGCATCAGATGCTACGATCCTTGTTGGCGCAGTTTCAGGGCTGTTGCAGACCGGCGCCTCCTTCCTGTTGGTTTGTGGGCAGGAATCTGATGAGATCGATCACATCCTTGATGACATCGGGCCAGATATCGTTCCGTGATTCAAAGATGACCAGTTTGAAGCAGCGCCAGGGTTGGATGCGAAGCCATCCACCTGAGGAATGGGTCTCATGTCATAGTTGTTAGGAGTCAGCTAGTCTACTCAATTGACGAGTGAGCATGCTGGCACAGTGGGCCGGAATTGTAGCCTCCAAGCCAATTTTCAACGCTGCTAAGCAGCACTTCTGCAGCAATTCTGAAGGAGCGGAACATTTCAGGTATTGTTATGTTTTGCTCATCCTGTTGCTTGGCAAGGCTGCTCTTGGTCGGAAAGGTAATGGCAACACAAGAGGCTTTTGGTTTGGCTATGTTTGTCCTTGCCAAGCAGAAAGGGACTTCACTTCGGAAACCGCTTGCTATGTCGGGAAAAAGACGGAACATAAAATGCAAAGAGTACTCATCAACAATCCAAGAGAGGGCAGGTATTGTGTCGAAGCATAAAGAGAGCCCGGTTCCCAGTTGAAAGTGTTGCCCAGTACCATTCCACAACTCAAGGGATATGTGTGTGTGTGTGAAACCCGCTAGCTGTCATGCGGGAAAACGAGGGGAACTGGGCACTCTGTGACTTTTTTTGAATGTTTTTTTTTGCCTTCCATGTCTTTTGCCTAGTGATTTGGAGGGTCTTCTCCACTTTTAGTTTGTTATTCGATGTTCAGTGCATCTTCAGACCTGAAAATGGTTTGCAGGACAGGCAGGACATACCAGTTTCTTCCCAACTGAACCTTCATGTTGTGTACGTGTCAGATGGTTCGTGATCATGAATCCGATGGTATGTAGTGAATGACAGCCGCAAGCAGCAGGTACTTGTAGTCGCACAATCATTCCTTGACAGGCTTGGTCATCTTGGTCCAGTTGAGTTGGCAAGAGACCAATGCGGGAAGTATAGGGACGCCAAGTGTGCTACGGATGTCTATGATCAGTTTCATTCCATGGTAGCTGCGCGAAGTTGGACAGGGTGCCAATGTGCCAGGTAAAAGGGCTCGACAGGATCGGAGTCAGCAAGCCTTGTCCTAAAATTTATCAGCAAAGTGTTTTGAAGGTGCAGTTCATGCTGTTTGTTCAGAAGGTCCACGGGTGTCGAAAATGACCAGCTGAGGGCATAGGGCGTACTTGTAGGGCCGGCCTAGGGTGACTTTTGTTCTCTTTCCCGCCATTACAAACAGTGCTTGGCAGAAGATACCAGTAGGCCCCCCCAACCTCGGCCTAAGTCGTCGATAGATGTCAAAGGGCACGAGCAAAAGCGTCTAAATTTGGCTTGACAGCCACGCTGTGTTTGCGTCAAGCGCAGTAGAGAGGTCAAGAGGAGTTGATTCAAGAAATTTCCTAAGCAGGAGTGCTGACAATTCATACCATGTTCACAAGGTGCGAGATCAATCAAGACGCGACTTTGCGCAGAAAGTCAATAGGCTGAAATACTCACTCTTGCAAATGTAGTTTTCCCCTACACAATCTAAAAGTGACCCTGTGTTGTTTTTATTTCAGTATCAAAAGAAATTGGTGGCCGGAAACTGTCAACGCCAGTTGAATGCTCCCGATGACCCAGTCCCAATTACTCTCAATGAGATCCAGAAAGGACTGAGATTCCTGTTGCTAAAAGTGGCCACATCAAGGCAAATTGATGTTTTGAGTAAAGACCCCCCACGAACCTCCAAGAAGAGCAGAGGAAATTACTCCGCAGAAGCAGCAGTTTGCATCGCAGAAGCTTTGCGGAAGCTCCGCAGAAGATCGTGTCGAACTTGTCAATCGCGGAAGCTGACGCCTACCTCGCGCTCCACAGAAGCTTAAACTTAAGGGTCAAAATGAAGGCCAATGTTTGTTTATTTGTTTACTCACACAGACTGGCTTGTCAAATCTTCTCACGAAACAAAATGATCGGAGAGTCCAAAAGTGTCAAGTTCGCAAGAGGGAAAGCAAGACTGCTTCGGCCCTTTTGATCGCAGACAGTGGGTTTGACGGAAGCACTACTGCCCAGTTTCAAGCTGTGCTTGGGAGCAGTATCAATATTGTATGGCGGTTTGATCCTCTATGAATCAAGTTGCCTGTGATCGTAACTTCTCTCAACTGTCTTTTTTCAGCCTAGGCTTTGGTGTGGAACATGTCCAATTGGTGAAACAAGCCTTTTGCTTCCACGTGGCGTGACATTTGCCGCTGTATCATGCAGGCAAAGTTGCGTCTTGGATACCGATGGCCCGCTTCTGATTTAATTGATTCCTATGGTCACGTTGCACTGAACAATGCTACGAGCGGTCAATGTTTGCCGAGACTTGACTACCTGGTTTCTGCGTATAGCTCTTTATACACGCTTTCAAACGTTTGAACTCTCTATCGCCGCATTCCAAGCAAGAAAATTTGCTGTATGAATCTAGCAGGGATTTTTCTTCCAGCATGTTCGTGACTTGCCGGCCTCAGGAGAGAGACACTCCCTCTTCAGCCAGATTTTTTTGAATGTTTTTTTTTGCCTTCCATGTCTTTTGCCTAGTGATTTGGAGGGTCTTCTCCACTTTTAGTTTGTTATTCGATGTTCAGTGCATCTTCAGACCTGAAAATGGTTTGCAGGACAGGCAGGACATACCAGTTTCTTCCCAACTGAACCTTCATGTTGTGTACGTGTCAGATGGTTCGTGATCATGAATCCGATGGTATGTAGTGAATGACAGCCGCAAGCAGCAGATACTTGTAGTCGCACAATCATTCCTTGACAGGCTTGGTCATCTTGGTCCAG